TTCAAGAGAAAAAGTGGAATATAATTGCAATAAACAAATCTTGGCATTTAAAATGGTTGTTTCAGATTATAAAGTTTATAATCTTCCACTACATGATGCCAAGAATTCTGCATGCCTTCCTTTTGAGACATATTAATCACCCTTTGCTCTTCAAAACAAACTCTGGCAAGCATAACAAGAGAAATCACAGCCTCAATCCATAGTTAACAGCTCCTTCCTTTCCAAGCCCACTAATAAGAAAAGATAATTACTGCCTACTTCCTTCAATTTTTCTCCAGCACTTTAGTTAGGTCACAACAACTGGTTTCTGATCCAATTAGGAAAGACAGGCCGACCTTGATAAAAAATAATGAACTTAGACCAAGGGGAAAATAATAAAAGACTAGCAGGGATTTTAGAAGTGGATAAAACTTAAAGAACTCTGAAACCAAGTAAGGGAATTGTGTTGGGAAGGAGAGACAGAGTAGAAAATATCTTAAAAGGCTTTGTCTCACTTTAAGAACTACCTTTCTTAAAAGATTTGATTTAGCAACTACTCTTGAAAGAAAAGGGAGTTCTCACCCCCCCCCGCCCCGGTTCTAAGTCTCTTTCATTCCCAACGTGGCTTGCCCTGCCCTACTCAGCTAATGGTAGCAGCAGGACAAAAGCTCCCGGGCAGGCTGCAGTCCCTTGTGTCTCACTTGCTATTCTATTCACGTCCTGACCCCCCCCCCGAAAAGGGGGGGCTCTCTGCCACCCATCCAAATGCAAATGGGGCGGCCGGGCAGAAAAACTCCTAACTTTGCAGAAAGCACTAACTTTCCCACCTCCCCTTGTGCGGTAGCCACGACGCCTCTTTCTCCGTTAGCTCCTTTGCACTCCCGCTTTCCTGGCTGCTTCTGCTCCTCTATAAGCCCCCTCTCCTCGTGCGGGAAAGGCACCGCGGGCATTCCGATCCCGAACTTTCTTCTACTGTTTTCCGCCAGGTCACCGCGAGTCCCCATCCTCCTCCGTTTCTCACCTCTAAGGTTTCCCCGCAAAAGGCGGAGGCGTCGTGGGAGATGGTTTCCACCGAGGAAAAGCGCCAGCCTGCCCTCTCGCATGGTGCTCGGTCCGGGTCCCTAGTCTGCCTTTCTTCCTCTCCTCACTGCCTGCAGCGGCGCCTCCTTTGCTCCTGCTGCCGCGCGTCGCGTCGCGACACGCTCCGGTCCCCGGATTCCTCCGCCAAAGCAGGGGCAGCCGCCACAAACCGCGTCCGGAACTAATTTCTCTGGCATGAAAAGTTAAACCACTCTTCAGCGACTGCACGGCTCGCAACCATCTGGCTCCGGAGTGATTATAACCCTGCAGATCAAACGCGCCACTACCATTCTCCTTCTTCACCCCCTTTTCCCTTAGAGGGCAGAGCGCCTGTAGCAGAGCAACAGTTGTGATCACACGAACCGTGTGTGTGTGTGTGTGTGTGTGTGTGTGTGTGTGTGTGTGTGTGTTGAAAGGGCTTATGGCTAAGGAGGTAAGTGTGTAGGGTCAGGGCCTGTTTACTCAGGAGGAAGTCTCGCCGGGTTCATTAGCTGCCTGCAGCAGTCTTAAGTTTGACCAAATCTGTTTACTCGGAAGTAAAGCTAGGTGGAGCTTCCTTTAAAGCGAGCAAACATTATTTTTTTTTTTAATCTGGACGGGAGTAAGCCTTCCTGAATTCACATGCACACAGTTGATCTTTAGGATAAATCCAGCTAAATCTTTTTAAGAACCTTTAAATATATTTAATGCTCCTTTGCAACTACTTTTAAGGTAATGTTTGCCTCTAGCTGTATGTTAATCTTTTCTTTGAACCCTCGAAGATTTGGCTTTAATCCATCATTGGGTTAATGTCCTAAAGCAAGGAAATGTGAACAAGGCATCTTTTCCTTTTTTCTTTTTGTAAGAACTAAAGCCTCAGATCTCAGAGTTTCTAGTTTCCACCCGCCCGGATTTCGGCCGAGCATGATAGTGTTCTGCTCCGAGTCCGTCTCCTAGCACTTCCATGCCTGTAATTGCTTTATACGCTGCACATTCTGTTACAAGCCCTTAAAAGGAAGACTCCACGAACCAAAACTCGCCTCCTTTGGCACTTTAATACTCTACCGCCCCAAACCTTCAGCAACACCGACCGCGACAGCGCAGGGCATATCAACCTGCAGTTGCGCTCACAGCTGGGGATTCGCTAACCTTTCAATCTTGCAGAACCCGAACGCACCTCAACGCCCTTCCTGCGGATTCCGCAAAGTATCATATCCCAACCCGAAATTAAAGACAGAAAAGGGCAACTACGCCAACTTGGGAGGCCAAGCAGTTCTAAAAACAGTCGCGTATTTGAATTAAAGACAAACTTACACGATTTAAACTAAGGAATGCACACGCGAATACCTCTTCCCCCGCAACAGTTTGGACCCCAATAACCTTCAGAACACAGCGCAAGCCAACTTGCCTTCCTACTAAAGGTGATCCCCTAGGAGTACCCATGTTTACTCATGTCTAAAGCACTGGCTGCAAGCAGGCTTATTCCTAGTTACATGTAAAACGGATGCTGCCTGAATCAGATCATCTCCCTGGATTCAGGCGCCTCCACGCGATTTGACGGTTGATCCTAAACAGGGTTGATCCTAAACAGGCGTACACTGCCCGAGGCTTCAATATCGTTCTAACCGGCGGTCGAATGCTCTCTCTGTTAAGCAATACCGCTTAAATTCTTGAATTATTAATTGCAGCGCGTTCCCGAGCAACGTTAAGGTTACTGGAGCCAACTCGGCAAAGGACCGCCCTGTCGGTAACTTTTCTGGAGTGCCCGCAGCCTCTATTGCCCAACAAAAGATTACTATACCATAACCACCTCTGCCCGCTTCTAAGAGGAAATAAAAGGGGGAGACGGTGTCTTACTTAGGGAATTTCAAAGCCGAGTTACTTACTTTTAAGAGTAGGAATTTCCACACACACCAGATGCATTGCTGGATTATTTTTGAGAGACTGAGCTCTGGAAGGGATTCTCCAATAGAAACTGGGAGGGGGAGTTTGTCTTGGAGGAGGGGGAAAATGGGAGGGTTTTCATATTCCATTTCGGAGCTTTGATTTAAAATGTAACCCGATACCAGCAACCCACCTCTTAATTTCAGGAACCCTTCGAACAATATATAGAAAGGAAAGCGACTTTTCTCCCCTAGCCCATTGATAAAAGAGGCAAGGCTTTCTCTGATGAATGAATTTTTAAAAAACTGCCATGTCATGAACGGGTAGTTTGAAATCCTTTGAAGAGCTCAATAAAACCTGGAGTTCACCTGACTATCAGCAGTTTACAGAGTACAGAAGGTGGAGAACAGCACCTGCCTTCTGCAAACAGGCATTGGCGAATGGGTGGCAGAGAAGCAGAGCCAGGCCTCAGATGCAGAACGCCCACCACAGCAACTTTAGGCTTCTACTCAGGGGTAAATCCTTTCGTGGTTAATGGGGCTTACTCCTACAGTAAGATGCTTAGGTTTCCAGCCATAAGTCTGCCCGTACTTACCGAGAAGTACCCTCCAGTTGGCTTTGCTGTGCAATCCTACCCATCCTACTTATAAGAAAATTGATACTTGGCTCTGGTTTCCATTAGACCACTTTTGTCAGATTGAATTTCATCTCAACGCACAGAAATTGTTGGGCGCGCCTGTTTGGGCTACATCCTTGTAAACGACACACGGCCACCGTCTCCTGCAGCCGAGTCACCATCCCGCTGGTGTCTGCAGGGGAGTAATGCTTCGTAGACCTGGATGGACCTACTTCCGGGTGGGACGCTGAGTCGGTGGGAGCTGTTTCAGGTCGCTGTGATTACAAATCACTTGAACAACCCAGCGCGTACCGGCTCAAGTGGTCTGAGGATCACAGGGGCAGCTTGGGTCCCTTCATGTTGGGGGGGGGGGAGCAGCAGGTGATACATAAATCGATTTTTGCTCCACGTTGGTCTTTGTTGGGGATAGAAGCGTTTTTTTAAGCAACCCGAGTGTGAATACAACAGTGCGACACGTTTAACCGAGCATCTCTCCTCCCCAGGGCTGTTTCAGAAACAGGTTACAACTAGGAGGCGGTAAAAAAAAAAAAAATCGCTGTGGGACGAGACTTAAAGAGGCATCCCCGAGGAAGAGACCGCAGCGGGCTTAGTAAGTTCCGGTTTCGAACCTTGCGACCCACCCTCCGAAATTTAATTGCCTGGAAGGAAGGAATCGCCTTTTTCCTTACTAAAACCTTCCTCAAAAAAAGGAGGGGCTAAAAATAAAGCAGATTCTTCAAGGTGGGCCACGGGGGCTGAATCGCTGTGATCACTCCCTCCTCACACCTTCTCATTCATTCTTCACACGCCCCGTGACTGACAAGAGGTCGTGAAACGAGACGCCAAAGCTCGCCCTCGAGGCTCACTACTGGAGAAAGCCGGAAGGCGCTCCAAAAGGACAACAATAGACGGTTGATGGGGGGAGAGGAGAGCTCATCTCTTTGCTCTCAGCTCTCTCCTCGTGGCTCCGGATAACGCTGAACTTGACTGACTGGTTGCCGGCCCAGGCAGCCAGAGAAAAGGAGACAGGAACTCGGCTCTATCCCGTTTTGGTAGCTAGAGGGCGCTGCGCCATAATGCTTCCTCGTGGATCGCCTACTTGTTTCTCCTTCCCAAAGGCACTGTTCCTAAAACAAGTTGCACTCGACCATATACATAAAAGCTAGGAGCACCCTTTTTCGACCAGGTTCCTTAAACAACGATCTGAAAGAGGCAGACTGCAACTAGGATCACTGGTTTTTGCAAAAAAAAAAAAAGTGGGGAATGGGTGGGGAGTTTTTGCTAGAGGTCACACAGATAGAAACTAAAGGAGGTTAAGAGAGAGGCCACGCAAAGGGCCGGTGCCCCCCGAAGTGTCCGTCCATTCGTCTATCCAACACTCCCTCTTGCTGGTGAAGCAACGCAGGGCTTTCGAAACGCAACTGGAAGGGCTGGGAAGGAGAGGATGAAAGGAAGGACTCACCAACCAGGCCAGCTGGGTGCAACCTCGCTTTTCTTGCTTACATCTAGATTCCTTTTGCTTCAGTCCATTCCAACAGACCCGGGTTCAAAGGACTCGCATAAACCAAAGACCAACTTGGCTCCGTCTCTTCCAGCGCCCGAGAGATCGCCCGCTTCGCTCCATCTCCAGGTGGCTGCCTGCCGGGTTGAACCCATCCGGTTCAAAAGGAGAGGGGGGAAAAAAACCCCAGCAAGTTGAGAGGGGCGGGACAAGATCCAAGTTTTTCAAGACATGTCCAGGCAAAGCGCGCGGCTGTTGAGTTTCAGCGCCGGGAGAGCGAAGGCTGCAAGTCGGTCCCTTCCCCGCCTGCTTGGAACTCGCCGGCTGGAGCGCCGCCCACTCCCGCTTCCAAAGGCTGCTCTGGAGGGGCTACTCCAGCCAGACGCCGGTGGCGGCAATTTGGTGCTTTCTCGCCCGGGCTCCGCCGCCCTCAGCGGAAAGGGCGGCGGCCTGGGTGGGCGAACTCTGCCTTGGCTCTGCTCCGCGAGAGGTGGGGGCGAAGGGCGCCACCCCACCTTCCTTTCCCACTCCTCACTGCCGCGTGGGTAGCCTTGCCTTCGCCGCTGGGGGAAGGGGACGCGTGGCTTGAGCGACAGCGGGCAGGTGAAGAGAGAGGGAAAGCCTAAGTGCTTCTCATCACTGGCGAAAAAGATCGTTTTGCCAAATCCTGAAGCAACGAATATTCTCTCCGACTTTCTCCAAACATCATTGGATCTGTTTGTCACATCGGTGTCATAATCACATCCCGCGGCTCTTGCGTTTAGATGCAGTCACTTACGTACACACACTTTGATTTGCCCAGAAATCCTGGATCCGTCGTACGGATGCTAATCTGCCCACGTTAATCATGTTAGGGCATGATTTCAACATAGGACAAATCCGCTTAGAGGAATTGCAGTAAGAATTCAAGAACCGCAGGAAAGTTGTGAGCAAGAAACAAAAGATCTTTTGTTCTGTGGTTTTTCATCAACCCTTTCAAAGATAAACATTAGAATTATATAATCTTAGATAATGAGTTTCACTTTTGAAAAGAATTGCCAGAAATAGTCAGCAGAAATCCATAGTCTTGGGGCAATTTTTCCTCCCCTCCTTTGCCAAGCCACTGCCAAGCATGATTCTTGAGATGTTTGTGGTATACAGCAGATGACACCAAACATCCTGTGTTTGTTTAGACAGTTCATGCAAAAGAAATAAGTGAAAATATAATCTCTAGCAGACTCCAACAACCCCCCCCCCATCTTGAGCATTCATGTAGTACTAGAGCAGTGGTTCTCAACCTGTGGGTCGGGACCCCATTTGGGGTCGAACGACCATTTCACGGGGGTCGCCAAACAAGGCTGTCCGCCATTTTTTTTCCTCTTTTCTTTGGCCATGCCCCTGGCGCCTGGTGATGTATAAATGGTTGGGGGTCACCACAACATGGGGAACTGTATTATGGGGTCACGGCATTAGAAAGGTTGAGAACCACTGTATTAGAAAGTTTTGACACTGGCATTCACAAATGGTATATAGGAACATTTCTGCTCTGCAGAAATTAAAATCATACAATATCAGGTGTTACAATCAGACTGATGGACACATTGGAATTTGGGGCACACACCAGGGACTCTGCAGTAGAAATAGTAGAAAGTCTAAATGAAAATCTAATAAATAATGCATTAATCAATATTATTATTGGTAATTGTGATGGTGATTGCCACAAAATATTCATTTACCCCATCATAGACTCATTTGTTTTCATTGATTTATAGGACCTTCTTGCAAACAGGACTCTCCATGTTTCATCTAAAATGGGGGTGTCAAACTGCCAGTTTGCGGGCTGGTTTCATCATACCGAAACGGTGCCCACCCCGTTGCTGGCAATGCAAAAAGAGTCACAACATGTGATAAGTCGTGACACGTCAAGTGATGTGGTGAGTTTGACACCCTTGATCTAAAACTATATAGTAAAAGAAAACGCTACTTCTGAACCTTCATGACTGGGAAAATTGAAGGACATACAAAATATTGTGGCAACAAAGGAAACCAGCAACCAATCCACTTGGCTCAGTTACTTCCCAATCTTCATGACCAGCTGAACATGGCTATTTCCCCCTTCTCAAGCAGCTCTCAACTATCTTGATCTTAAGCCCCATTAAGCACTCTGTCAGAAAACCTCCTTACCACAAGGACATTTATATATTTACAAATATTTTCTTATTACATTTATAATTTACAGTAAGACTAAAAGATTTACTAGCTTGTTTGGTGTCTCCTCTAGATTATTTCCAGATAGAGCTGTGCGTGCTTTGAAAATTATTCATAAGAACTTTGGATTTCAAATGACTAGCTCTGCTATTTGTTAAAGCAGCCCACCTTTTCTCAGGCTTCTGCCCAAACTTTAACGGCTTGGCTGCTTTAATGAGTTGATTCCTTAAAACAGATGTAACTTTTGATTGTTTTAAGGCCTGCATCGAAATCTGAAAAAAGAAATGGCTCCTTTAATTAGTAGCAGAGAAATGTTGTGCTCAGATAACATCCAAAACCCACTTTTTGAATCATTGTTCAAATATGTACAGGCCTAGTTATGTTGTTGATTGAAAATCACTCTTCTTGGATGAACCTTATTGTCACAGTTTATGTTTCTCTTTTTCCTGGGCAGATGGACATTCTTGTCTTCCAAACAAGAATATTGGGATTATAATGGTCTAAAAAGCATAATTCTTTTTCTATACTTCCATTTCATTGCCAGCACCCTTGAATGGAGAGCATTTGGAAATGTACATATCATTGTTTCTGTTTACTTTTTCATTTTTTAAAATTGTAATGTAAAATGACATAAATAAGAATAACCAAATTGTATAGTATGGCAAGAATTGACATGTAAAATTAATTCTGATTACTAAATGAGAGGATTATATTCTGGAGGTGGATTCTTCTCTCCCCTTTTTGCTTTTTGTTTATAACATCCTTAAACACATGCACAAAAGATTGCAACCATCCCATTTTCATTTTCTAATAATGCCTGTTGAAGGTATCTGGGTCTGGAACTATTCTTGAAATCAAGTTGATGATTTTACCATTCAAGGTATGGTAAAAAAAATTCAGGAGTATGATCCTTTCTTTATTCATGTCAGAAGCACTACAAATTATGGTCATATAACATTCAACACTCAGAGTATAAAATAGGACATATAGCATGTGTAAAAATAAGAGTATAAATAGGATTGAACTAAATGATATTTGCCCAGGTCACATCGATTATGTTGCAATAGTACAACATATTTTTTTTTTTCTGTGTGACACAGAACAGGCAAAGCTTCAATTGCATTGTTGCTGCTACCTTTTGGTAGGTACTGTGGATACCCCTTTCCCATTAATTGTATTTGTATTTCATTAAAGACACTGCTAATAGTAGTCCAAAGGAAGCTTGGAGCTCTGGGAAAAGTATCTGCAGCAGATTTCAAAAGCTGTATGCTCAGGAGAATCTTCAAGGGAGGCAATAGGGGGCCAATTGCAATATGTTTCTTAATACAATAGAAATACTATAACTTACGTAGTTGTGGCAGGCATAATGCCTCAAGAATGTAGTGGTACCATTTGTGCAATGACATCACTGCACCTGTGTCATAGTGTTGAGGTCATCATGGATTTTTGTTTGCTTGTTTGTTTTGCAGGCACCTCTATCTTGATCTATAGATCAGATGACATGCAGAATGAAAACATTCTAATCTTCAAGCTTTTGCGTTAGCTATTGCTGCTCTTTGGGCATTTCTACAGTGCTCAGTCCAAAATCTAAAAACACATTGTGATTGTTTTCCAAATTCTGGGGAAAAAGCAAAAATTATTGCTATCTCCTGAGCTGAAATAGCAAAAGTCCCTGAAATAGCAAAAGTCCCTTCTGTTGTGTCCTGAGCCTGCAAAGGCAGGCTCGGGACGTTGCAATGGTCCCGGGCAGTTGCAAGCTGCCCGGGACCAGACTGGCTGGCGCCCGCTTCGCACGCATGCGCAAGGCGCGGAAGCGCGCCAAATGTTACCTTTTTGCCCAGGGACGCTATTAAAGGAGTCAGAGAGGCTTGCAAGCCTCAGAGCTGTGACGGAGAGAGAACTACTTCAAATAAAGGGCTGTTGGAATTACAGAATGTGCTGTATTCATTCACCGTTGACTGGAGGACTCAACACTGGCGACGAAGGTGGGATGGCTTAGAAAAAACAAAAAGAAGAATTGTAAGCTTACCCAAGAGTCCTGAAGAGAGGAAGATGGCGTTAAACTCAGCACCTGGCCTGCCAGTACAGCATCGCTGGAGGTAAGCTGGCTGATAGACCCCTTCCTAACAGAGAAGCAAGAATGGCGAAGATAGGGAGACTGTCTGAATTCGATGTCACGCATCCAGAAAGATGGGAGTCTTATGTTGCCAGGGTAGAAAATTACTTTAGAGTAAATCAAGTAAGAGAAGATGGCTTGAAAGCCACTACTTTGCTGTATGTCTGTGGTCAAGATGCATTTGAAATTGCTGAAAATTTGGCAGCCCCTGCTCCTCTTGAATCTGTCACTTATACAGATTTAAAAAAATTATTGAAGGAACATTTTCAACCCAAGTTGTCTGTTATTGCATTGAGACATATTTTTGAACAGAGGGATCAAAGAGCTGGTGAATCAGCTAAAGAATACATTGCAGCCTTACGAAGAGCAGCTAAGCCTTGTGATTTTAAAGACTTAGAAGAAAGGTTGAGAGACCGATTTGTATGTGGGCTTAGGAACAGAGACTTGCAACAGAGACTCTTTGCAAAGGACATTTCCTTCCAAGATGCCTTGAGAGAGGTCACTGCAGAAGAGGCAGGAGGTGGGACAGTCAAGAACATGAGGCCTATTAGGAACAACCCAGAAGCCGTCTCCGTGCACCACGAGGGAGTCCAGGAGAGCTCAGAAGAAGATCCTGAAGATGAGGTGGATCATCTTTACCCAGCCAAAGAAAGAAAACAGAAGGAAGGCAAAGAAAAGTCTTCAGCTGTACCCAAGTGCTTCGGGTGTGGAGGTCGCCATAGGAGAACCGATTGCAGGTTCCGTTCTGCAATCTGTAGAACATGTGGAAAGCAAGGCCACATAGCAGCTGTGTGTCTGGGCCGTCAGAAGGTACAACCCCAAGAAGAATTGCGCCTGAAAGGTACCAGGGTCCTCAGCCAAAACAGGGTGGGTTTCTGTGCATCATGTAGAAGCATTTATAGGACAGGCACACACAAGCCACTTAAAAAGAAACTGTCACTTAAGGTGAAGTTGCAAGGAGTTCCGTTCGTTATGGAACTGGACACTGGGTCTGCACTTTCAATTATTTCCATTCACACTTTCAGAAAGATTTGCTCTAGCAGTGGGTTCCAGGCCAAGTTTAGGCCATCCAATATAGTCT